ATTGTAGATGGTTGTCTTCTTATAAGTTTTTTTTTCCCCTCGTCAATACTATTCCTCTAGATAACAAGTTATAAGCTACATCAAGAGTTCCGTATTGCTACATATAATTTTGAAACTTGCATCTTGCATTTTTGGCAAAGTCAGGCATAGCTACCTAGCCTACATTGTTTGCTTTAGTTTATTGTTGTCTTCATAAACTTTAAACCAGATGCAGATTTGATGATCTCATGTATATTTTTCAGAAATGTTGATATGGCTGTGTGCTCCACTTGTTGCTTGTTTACTGTGCAAAAACCAGCCTATCCCCTGCAGATATCTAAGATGCATCAACAAAGTCAACAATATGAGTTAGCTTGAAGAATGACCTTTTTCCAAAGTTTGAGTAGATGTGTTACTCCTTTGGCTCATTTGTTGCCGAGGATTTATTGTCTCTTTTATGCATGATTGAGCATTTCTTATTTTGAAATAAGAGATCCTTCCTTGCTTTCATAATCTCCAAGAAAGTGAAAAGGTTATTGGTGTCTCATTTGTTGCGATATTCTAATAACGATTTATGAATTTCAACTTTTATTTATTTATTTATGAATTTGTCATTATATAAATTCTACGATTGAACAACTCTAAATTGCAGTCATTATACGGCTATATCATGAATCGATTTTAATCTGATGGCTCTGTGTAGTTTGTATAAAAAAATTGATTCTCAGTTTGGTAGACACTTATGGCCACACAAAAAAACATGTTCGAAATTGCTTACAAACAAACAATTAAAATATAAAAAAAAATCAAAGCCACAAGTAGAATTGACGAAAAAAGCATACGCACAGAAACATTAGAAGAAACGAAAAAAACTAAAAAAGAGAGAGATAGAGAGAAAAAAACGCGAAGATGGCTTCAACTCCGAAGCTGACTACTACAATTTCATCTTCTCCATCTCTTCAAATCCTCCGCAGAAAACTCCCAATCGCAATCCCTCTACCATCTTCATCATCTCAGAGCTCTCGTTCGTTTCATAGAACCCTATCCTATTTCTCTTCCCTCCGTTCCCGTGTCGCCTTAATGTCAAACCACGGGTATAATCCCTCTCGCCGGTTTTCTGTGAGTGCCCAGAACGATAATGGAGCAGAATCTGAGCGTCACTACGATTTTGATCTCTTCACTATCGGCGCCGGAAGCGGCGGCGTCCGCGCCTCTCGATTCGCCACGAGCTACGGAGCTTCCGCCGCCGTTTGCGAGCTCCCTTTTTCCACTATCTCTTCCGAGACAACCGGAGGCGTCGGAGGAACGTAAGTTTTTCTTTCTTCATCTTCCCTTATTTTGATACATCTGCAAGTATATGATTTAAGTAGCTGCTATAACTTCATATGCTAAAACCAAACTACAAAATCAATTCGAAGCATTTGCTTGATAATTTATGATTTGATCTCCAGAGGAACATAAAAGTTTTCTTCAATTGTGTTTGTGAGAGGGAACTATGATCTGGTCTTTCTTGTTGCTAGCTAGACTAAAATCATCTTTCCCAACTTTCATGGCAAAGCTACTTAACTGGGTTGCTGCAGGATGTTTAGCAACACTACTTACATTTGAAAGCTCAATTTTATGCAGTTTAAATTTTGGCTTTGTAGAGAGATCTCATTCTAATCTGTGTTTGGCCTGAACGAATGAGTGAACTCATTTTGGTTATTGTACAGGTGTGTACTCAGAGGATGTGTCCCAAAGAAGTTACTTGTGTATGCATCCAAATACAGCCACGAGTTTGAAGACAGTCACGGATTTGGTTGGAAGTATGATACTGAGCCTTCCCATGACTGGAGTACATTGATTGCCAACAAGAATACTGAGTTGCAGCGTCTGACTGGTATTTATAAGAATATACTGAAAAATGCTAACGTCAAGTTGATTGAAGGTCGTGGAAAGGTAGGCTAAAGCTCAGAGTTTATATAGTTAATTTTCAATGTATATTCAACTATATGCCATGTATTCTTGGAAGAAAACGGATTATATATTTTTATGTGTAGGTTATAGACCCGCACACTATTGATGTAGATGGGAAAATCTATACTTCGAGAAACATCCTGATTGCAGTTGGTGGACGTCCCTTCATTCCAGACATTCCAGGAAGAGAGTTTGCCATAGATTCGGATGCCGCACTTGATTTGCCTTCCAAACCTAAAAGAATTGCAATAGTTGGTGGTGGCTACATAGCCCTGGAGTTTGCGGGCATCTTTAATGGTCTTAACAGTGAAGTTCATGTGTTTATCAGGCAAAAGAAGGTGCTGAGGGGATTTGATGAAGACGTGAGTGAACTGAGAATGACTTTGGCTGCATTTGTTTTATTACTTTTGGCTATCTTATAATTAGTAATTATGGTTCTTTGTTACTAGGTCAGGGATTTTGTTGGAGAGCAGATGTCTTTAAGAGGCATTGAGTTTCACACTGAAGAATCCCCTGAAGCCATCATCAAATCTGCAGATGGCTCGTTGTCTCTGAAGACCACCAAGGGAACTATTGAGGGTTTTTCGCATGTTATGTTTGCAACTGGTCGCAAGCCCAACACAAAGGTATTTTGTGATTTGTATTTCTGAAGTATTATTGTAGTATGAAAATTGTTAGCAAAGTTCATTGCTTTCATAAATCTTCTTAAGATAAACTAACCATTGTAGCCTTTTTAGTTATGACTTAAGAAATGTTAGCTACTACAATGATCGTAGAATATGACTTGGTCATTGATGTAATGTTGACTGCTATAACAGAATTTAGGGTTGGAGAATGCTGGCGTAAAATTGGCGAAAAATGGAGCAATAGAGGTATGATCTTGTAGTTACCTTTTTTTTTGTTTCCTGATATTTCTATTGGTTACATTGTGCAAAGTTCTCTTGTTATGCCTGGTTAATTGATGTATATTCGTGCTCCGTTTTGACACTTTATTTGCCAAGGTTGATGAATATTCACGGACATCTGTACCTTCCATCTGGGCTGTTGGGGATGTCACTGACCGGATCAATTTGACTCCAGTCGCCTTGATGGAGGGAATGGCATTGGCTAAAACCGTGTTTCAAAATGAGCCAACAAAGCCTGACTATAGGTAACATCATAATCTTGACAAGTGTTAGTTTTTGATTGTTAGGCCTTCGGAATTTCTGGTGTATCAGTGACAATTTTCTCTGTTTAATCTTACATGCTCCCTTTAAGATCGAGATCATTTTATAACTGTTACCTGTAGTAGTTCTATTGTCTCTGATAGCTTGTGTCCTTTCTGTTTTCTCTTTTCAACTAGAGCTGTTCCCTGCGCCGTTTTCTCCCAGCCACCCATAGGAACAGTTGGTCTAACCGAGGAGCAGGTAAGTAGGACAATTTTTCTAAAATTATGGTTAATTGTGTATGTCACACTGCCTGTAAATGATGGAGACGTGTTTGCAGGCCATAGAACAATATGGGGACATCGATGTTTACACATCAAACTTTAAGCCATTAAAGGCTACGCTTTCAGGACTTCCAGACCGGGTGTTTATGAAACTCATTGTCTGTGCAAACACAAATAAAGTTCTCGGTGTTCACATGTGTGGAGAGGATTCACCCGAAATCATCCAGGTTTCATTGTTAACATGATTACTCATCTCTCTGAGAAGTAAACACGGAAAACATGTATGATTCAATACGATATTTTTTTTTTCAATTTGCCAGGGATTTGGGGTTGCAGTAAAAGCTGGCTTAACCAAGGCCGATTTTGATGCTACAGTGGGTGTTCACCCCACAGCTTCTGAGGAGTTTGTCACTATGAGAACTCCAACCAGGAAAATCCGCAAAGACTCTGAGGTTTGTGTGTGAATAAAAATTGCTTACACATCTAGTTAGTTCTTATTATTTTGCAACATGGATATAAAAGATGGGTATTCCAAATTTTATTTCAGGGAAAGGCAAGTCCTGAGGCTAAAACAGCTGCAGGGGTATAGAGAAGGTTTCAAAAAGATTGGATTTACTTTATTGGAGCTCCCTGACAAGGTATTAACCAGTTTCCTCAGTATTCTTCTAAACCTAGAAAAGACATGCAATGCATTAACAAATACGTAGGGTGTCAAATAGGGCCAAAGCTTTGATTTCTTTGTGCCGAAATGTAGTCCTGTCGAGTCGAGTTGGGCAAAAACAAACTTCCATTTCTTTTCCCAAATATTATTTTTGTGCTTGGGGCCAGTTCTAAACCGGCTTAAGACCAAGCTCGCACTAGAATCATATGTAATTGTGTGTGATATTATTCGACCTGCATGTTTGCAGGAGAACAATATCCTTGAAGAAGAAGAAGCCTTTTTTTGGTCGAGAGTGATAGAGTTTTAGCCCAATGTTTTTATTTATGTCGCATGGAGACAAGGCCGTGCCCATGTTAAGAAAATGGAAACACTCAGCCCATGTTAAGGTCCTCATTTTGTAATGTAATATAACTAATTGTTTTAATGTAAAACAAATAAAATTACAGTTTCTTGATAATGAAATATTTGTTTTTGATTAAAAATATGATGTTAAGCATATTTTAGACAAAATACATCTATTAAAAGTTTATATTATTATTATACTTATTCGTAAATAGAAGTCACTATTAAAAGTGGTAATATCTACGGGAATTGTCTAGTAAATCAACATTTTATTTTAATATCCAACAATACCTTTTAAAGTTTATAACGGCCATGCGATTTCTTACCATGATAATCCAAATGTCTAAATCAGTTGAAATAATGCAATCTAGATATATTTATTGGCTTATTCTGACACGATGAAGATTGTTAAAGCTTTTATTAGTACTAGTATTTACACTAGGGAGAATCTTTTCCTAACAAAACAATATTAGTCTAGTCAACTTTTTTTTGGTGCAAAGAATTCAATGGATCCAATCCAACGTCCATCACGTCACGTGCCATTTACCAAAACCAAGGCTAAAACAGTAATTTGACCAACCTAAACCTCACGCTCCCCTCTTCTAAATTGTAGCTGAGCGGCTACGTCTTTTTTTAATTTTCACATTTTGCTTCAGTGTCTTTCGAAAACAATCGCGCGAAAACGCCATTTTATCTCCCGCCGCTACTTCCCTCCTTATTCCTTTTATTTTTTTTCATCTCTCCCTCCGAATCTCATCTAATCACTCCAACTTCGTCACCATTTCCTTCTCTCTCTCTCACTTTTTCTCTCTATCTCAATCTCACGATGCAGCATCAGCCGCATATTTCTCCGACCACCGCGAATGCCGCGATCTCAGCCGCGCTTGAATCGCAACGTGTCAGGAAGAATCGCGGGAGTTACAATTGTGGCCGATGTGGTCAACCTAAGAAAGGACATGTCTGCCATTTGACTCCTCTCGATGTTCCTAAAACTCCGATTGCTTCGGAGCCGGTGAGCTGCATCTCCGCCGCCGCATCTTCTTCCCGTTCTACTGTCATATCCATATCGGCGGCGCCGTCGCGCCAGTCTTTCACTCACCTTCGCCGAGCCTTATCTTTCGATGACATCGATGCGCGTAATTCTCTGGATGAGCCCGATCTCGATGCAGCGACGACGGATCTGGATCTGCATTTGGATACGGATATTGTTCAGCCGGGAAGATTTCATGCGGTGGCTCTATGGGAGGTGCTTAAGCGGCTTCCGCCTTCGAGTTTACTAATGGCGGCTAGAGTTTGCAAGGGATGGAGAGAGACTGCGAGGAAGATGTGGAAGGCGGCGGAGGAGCTTCGGATTAGGGTTCCGGAGAGAGCTCAGATTGGATACATTGGATCCTTGTTGCAAAAGTGTCCTCGGCTTATTAGGCTCTCCCTTAAAATCGAGAGGTGATTCTTCTTTAGCAGGATCTACTAGATCTGAGATTGTTATTGATCTCACCGTATTTATTTGAAATTGGATTTTATTTACTTCTCAAGATGATGAATGATTGAAGGAGCTCTTAATAACTGTCGATAATCGAGAAGCAAATTATTAATTGTCTTCTGATTGCTGGACTAACTGCAATTAATTTTAAATCTTTGTGTTTTCTGACTGGCTTTTTTTGTTCTTCTTCATATATGCAGTGATTTGGACGCGACAACACTGGCCTGCATTGCTTTTTCTTGCCCCAACCTGGAGGTTCTAGAGATTTCAACTTCGGGCGCATCTGTCAATAGGATTACTGGGTATATAATCTTGATGATACTTAGTGATGACATGAGTGATAAACCTGAGTTATTCCATTAAGAAACAATGACAATCAAGTCTATATCTGTTTTTCTATGCGAGACTGGGAAAAGACCACGTGATCTTTATGCTGCAACTGTTAATGGAAATTATAGGTTCATCCTATGAATACAGAGGCTGTTGGCTCTGTTTGCTACAAATTCATCTGTGCAAAGCAGTCATTTCGAATATGATCCGTTGTTTGCGCTTCCTTGGATCTGTCTTTAATATTCATAGTGGTTATTGTATGAATAGGGACGAGCTAGGTCGCTTTGTTTCTAATAAGCGTGGACTTACAAGCCTTAAGATGGAAGGATGTTCCAACTTGGGAGGATTTTCCCTCTCTTCTTCAAGCCTATCCACTCTCTGGCTCGGGGACCTTCATTCTCTTTCGAAGATGGTAATTGATTTAACCTTCTTTTTCTTCCCTCTTCCAACGTTTAGGAAGATAATTCATATATCTAAACCTTATACTATTTTGTTCTCATTTTATGTCAGATCATCAACTGTCCAAATCTTATAGAAATATCACTTGAGTTTTCTCGCCAAGAAGATGATTCAACTGACCTTGTAACAATGGTTGATGGTTTGGGAAGGACTTGCACGAGATTGCAGAACATTCACATAGCCTCTCTGAAGCTCTCCCATACAGTTGTACTCGCTCTTACTGCTGGGAATTTCAGGTTTGTTCAATTCCTTTTTTGTTTCTTTTTGTATTGGTTTGTTTGTAAAATCAGTCCTATAGACAATGAAAAATTCCACTATTCTCTGGGACTTTTAGTCCTGTATGTTCATATGGATTGATATCAGTTTCCTTGTCGTCCAGGGATTTGAGAATGCTCTCGCTTGTTCTTGGAATAGATATCACAGATGCATCTGTAGCTGCTATTTCCTCAAGTTATACAAACCTTGAACTGCTTGATCTGAGTGGGTATGGTTTCTTTTGCTCAGTATATCCTATATATATATCTCTTGTGTCCAACGTGTTGTTCACATGAAGAGCAGTATTTTGAGATGTGTATGTTTTTTGTTTTTGTTTTGTTGTTGTTGGTTTTAGTTCCAGCGTTACTGATACTGGCCTTGGGATGATCTGCGATGTCTTACCTGATACACTCTCAAAATTACTTGTTGCTCTTTGTCCCAACATTACATCAAGTAATTCCTTGATCTTTTGGCCTGCATATGTGTTATATAATTCTTAATCCATCTGTTTGTTCCTGTTTTCTCATTTATTCTATAATGAATGTTCTTGCAGGTGGCATTCAATTTGCTACAGCTCAACTGCCACTTCTTGAGCTGATGGATTGTGGCATGACTGTGTCTGATCCCAATTCAGATAATCCAACTGTTGAAGAGCAGAGTTCGACCCCGCAGAAAACATCAGGCTATAATCAAAAGATGTTTATCAAACATAAACGCCTGAAGAAACTCAGTTTGTGGGGATGCTCCAGTTTGGACGTGAGATTGCGCATCAATGCTCTCTAAACAAGTTCTCCTTAGAACCCCATTTTCTCATAGTTTCGATCTGTTGATGCAGGCTTTGTTCCTAAACTGCCCAGAGCTCAAGGACTTGAATTTGAACTTATGCAGCAATTTGCAACCTGAGAGTTTGGTGCTCCAGTGTCCAAAGTTACAACTTGTGTACGCATCAGGATGTCAAGACCTACTGACCGGAGCTATCCGAAAACAGGTAATCGTTTGGACAAAGTTACAACTTGTATACGGTTTGGTTTTACAGACTAAAATCAAATAAAACAACCATTTGCAATTCAGTCTAATGCAATTTTAATTGTTTGTTTTTCGTTCGGTTTAGATAAAAATCTCAAAAGTATATAAATAATTATTTAATTAATATTTTATGATTATAATATAAAACTTGATGAATTTCAGTTTGGTTTGGCTAAATTTAATAAATTTGCTTTGGTTTGGATTGTAAAAATCATAAAACTAAAAGAGTTCTGATGCATTTCGTTTATACAGTCTGTCAATCCCTAGACATTCTGTTATAATAATCTCTTGAGTCACATCCAATTTAAAGTCTTAAGAAGCCTCTTCTTATAATAATAACTTGTTTGATAGGTTTCCGAGAACTCCGCAGCTGGTGAAAACCATATGCCACGGAAACGCTTGGCCGATGCTTCGAAGAGGATTCAGGCTCCACATTTGTTATACCAAGAGGTGAATATTATTTATATCTATATATATATATATATATGGTGAGAAAGACGTAAGAAATATATTAAACCCAAAAAATAGTAAGAAATATATATTTAACTGAGAGTTTGTTATTTGCAGACAAGAGAAGATGATAATTATGCGGGGAAGAGAAGGAAGGTGGAGAGAGAAATGTGTACCATCATACATTAGGGAAGTAATTCTCTCTTAAACTCGTCACATTTTGCTTATTACCATCTCTATGTTACTGTACATCTGATTATTGTCGGATCACGTATGTTGTTTCTCACTCATCAACTTTACATGTTTATGTTTGTTTTCCAATTAGTTTGAATAAACTGTATAATTAACATTATGTGTTGGATTTTGATTATTGATATAGTAAACAAGGTTCTATTTTGTTTTTCAAGTTATTCTGTTCATTCTATTTGTTATCTGCTTAGCTTAAAAAGTTTGGACAGACTTTCTATAGTACATTGAAAATCTAGATTAGTTGGTCTTATTCGCTATTTACAACTTGAAGAGGTGGAATGTTAAAACTTTGATCCACTCACATTTTTAAGCATTAGTTAATGTTTATTCACTCATTTTCGATATAATTTAGTAAGCTTTAAATAATTTTCGAAAACTAGAAATCTACTAATTTCTTTCAGTAATCGGTATTGAAAATAATTTTAATACCTACAAAGCGTATTATTTTTGTCCAATATAGTAAATACGTATTAGACTTTAATTCTATAACGAACCAAAAATGGAAGAGCAAAGTCACCAAGTCAAAATAACTCCAAATATAAAAGTGACGGCGCCTGAACACTCGTGGCTGGTAGATTTCACCTACCACTTTCTTCCATATCCCAAACGTGGAATCGCTGCGACTCCGTTTATATAATACTACTCTCTTCTTCTTCAAACCCGTCTGCACAACACAGAGAACTTTTCCAATGGCAATTGCTTTCAAATCCGGCGTCTGCTTCCTCCAATCGACAAAACCCCAAATCGGATTCCGCCATTCTTCATATTATCCTGATTCATCGCTCTCTCTCAAGAGATTGACGCCCATTGCTGCTCTCTCCACCTCTTCTCCCACTCTCGGTCTCGCTGATACTTTCACGGAGCTCAAAAAACAAGGCAAAGTAAGAGATTCTCCGTCTTTCATTTCTTCAACTATCTCGCAATTATGTTACATCATCATCCATTCTCGAGAGATTGGATTTTCAAATTTTACTCCTTAGCTCTGGTGGGAAATTGGATTTAAAGATTTTAGACGCTTTTTCTGAATTCGTATTAGAGCGATGCGTGAGTAGCTGAGTCGCACTGAGCTGATTATATCTGAAAATCTCATCCTATAGATAGATTTGTAACAGCTCACTGGCAAATATTGGTTAATTGATCTACCATTTATATATGTGTGAAGGTAGCATTCATACCGTACATCACAGCTGGTGATCCAGATCTCTCTACTACTGCAGAAGCATTGAAAGTTCTTGACGCTTGTGGCTCTGACATTATCGAATTGGGTGTTCCTTACTCTGACCCTTTGGCTGATGGACCTGTTATTCAGGTTACAATCAAAATGCAACCTTTATATTATTGTCCCACAGTTTTCAGTTTGTTTGATCATCTTGCCCTTCGTCATCTATTATTCCATTAGGCTGCTGCGACTAGGTCTTTGGAGAAGGGAACCAACCTCGATAACATCCTTGACATGTTAGATAAGGTGAGTTTAGTTTCTGAAAGCAAAGATGTGTCTGTGTCTCCTGTCAAATGATATCATCCGAGCTTCCTTGTATGTATTCCGATGGTATATATGTATTCTTACTGTTGGACTTGGTGCAGGTTGTTCCACAATTGTCTTGCCCGGTTTCGCTGTTCACTTATTACAATCCCATTCTTAAACGTGGGTTGGGGAAGTTCATGGCTAGCATCAGAGATGTCGGTGTACAAGGACTTGTGGTTCCCGATGTTCCTCTTGAAGAAACTGAGATGCTGAGAAAAGAAGCTCTTAACAACAGCATTGAACTGGTAAACAAATGCTTTAAAGGATTTATATTTTTTGTCCCGGAATTTCAGTTTTGAATATTAAGATTCTCAGTCTTGTCAATAGCAGCATATCACAAGAAATCAGTGAGAATTCATTTGTGTCCATATGTTCTAGATGAAATCTTTTTAATTTTCTTCTTCTCCTCGAATTGATTTTTCTTAGTTGAGCTCCTTACAATCTGTGTGAAGATTTTAGTTGATAGAAACAGTAGAAGCATTGTTTAGTGTAGGCACTGAATTTGTGGTATTGCTGGATCTGCCTTTTTCTATTTTGACATTCGGTTTCCTTTACCTTGTCCTTTCAGTAACATAATTTTGCTCCATGTTTGTATTCAAGGTCCTACTCACTACACCAACCACACCAACAGAACGAATGAAGCGAATTGTTGAAGCATCAGAAGGATTTATTTACCTTGTAAGATCCCTCTCCATGTATCTTTCTCTCTCCAGATATGCACACGTGTTTGTATATGAAAATGTATTGGCCTTGCTATTGGGTTTGACAGGTGAGCTCAATCGGTGTGACCGGTGCACGAGCATCTGTAAGCGGAAAGGTCCAGTCGCTCTTGAAGGATATCAAAGAGGTCTAATAACAGCCAGTTGCTATTGTCGTTTCTTCATTATCTTGAAATGATGTTGCAAATGCTCAAATTGTTTGGCCGTTTGTAATTCAATGCAGGCAACAGACAAGCCAGTGGCGGTCGGTTTTGGAATATCAAAGCCTGAGCATGTGAAACAGGTGCAAAACCTTACAAAAAGCTTCTCAAGGCGTCTTATGTTGTCTTCATGTCGCTTCCTTAATGACTGGTTTATGTTGTGTTAAACAGATAGCTGGATGGGGAGCTGATGGAGTGATCGTAGGAAGTGCAATGGTGAAGCTTCTGGGAGATGCTAAGTCGCCTACGGAAGGGCTTAAGGAGCTTGAAAGTCTCACTAAGTCTCTCACATCTGCTCTTCTTTGAAAACGACAAAAAAATAACAATTGCATACAGCATCATAGATTGTGTTTTTGTTTTTGCTAATTATGATCGATGTGTGATAAATGATGTGCAAAACTTTTGATTCATTTCAAGTTATGATCAAGATACACAGTCGCTTAAAAAACTTTGATACATTGTCAAAGTTAACTCAATATGATTGACTTTAAATGAAGTTAAGAGTGGCTCAAGTACTCAAAGCAATTGTCTGTTATACACTAAGGAATCTGAACAAGCAAATTAATATGCTGGAAAAACCGACGATGCAGTTTCTTCTTTTTTTTTTGGTCAAAACGATGCAGTGTCTTCTTAATTTAGAAATTTTGAATAGCAAACTGGATCAGGTCAACCGGTAACCGGATGATACAAAAGAAAAAAGAGACAAAACATCTATCGATTTGGTTTTTAAAATCATGTCTAAATCAGTAAATCTACGGTCCCATTTACAAATTACAAGTTGGAATAATCATCAATGATGAGAAAATAAAGTTTCAATATTTTTTTAAAAAAATCCCAAAATATTTTTGTAGGTTTCGCTTTCCTAAATTCAAATACAAATCACAAATGTTGCATCCCGCGATATATTATTATTAAATTTCCCATCGAGTGTTGGTTATCTGAAAAAGCATAGAGATGAGAGGCGGAGCCACCGGAAAGAGAAAAGCGTTTGAAGGTTTCGGCGGAGCGCCACCACCACCACCACCGTCGGTGGAGCACCAGCGTCATCTCGTTAACTCAAGAGACTCCGACGCTAGTTTCGCCAGCAGCCGTCCATCGTCGATCGGATTAGGCCGAGCCTCCGATGTATACTCCGATAGATCTCATCAATCCTCGACTATTCGATCCATCAACGCTTACCTCTCTTCATATAACTTCCCGATCTCACTTCGCGCTCACCCTGTTCCTCCTGTCAAGGAGATCTCCGAAACCCTAAGATTCATGCTCTCCACCGTCGATTTCCCCTGCGATTCACAGAAATGGGACGAAGATGTCGTCTTCTTCCTCAAATCGCTCAATTGTCCGTTCAAGCTCACTAAATCTAGCCTCCGTGCTCCCAACACGCCTCACAATTGGCCCAACGTTCTCGCTGTGATTCACTGGTTGGTTCAGCACGGTCGTTACCACCACCATTTATCATCCAATCCCGCCTCCGTCGCCGACGGTAACTCCATGAATTCCTTCGAGATCCAAAGCTACCGCCACTTCATTCGCGGCGAGGATGATTTGGTTAACGATCTAGATACCGAGTTCTTGGGTAAATTGGAAGCGGAGAAGGCTACCGTCGCCGAAACGATTTCCGGTTGTGAGAATAACGCCGGTGAGCTGGAGGCTAAACTCGAGGCACTGAGGAAAGGTCCGACGAAGAAAGAGGCTCTGGAGAAAGTGAAAGGCAATCTGGAGAAAGACGTGAACAAGTATAACACAATGGTTGTGGGATATACGGATAAGATTCGAGGGATGGAGAAGGTTGTGGAGGAGAAAGAGACGGAGCTAATAGCTAAGGAAGAAGAGAGACAACGAATCTCTGAAGAGAATAAGGAGCTGAAGAAGAGTGTGGAGGTTCAGAGTTTCAACGTGAGAGATGTAGAGAGGATGAAAAGAGAGTTGCAAGCTGTGGAAAGAGATGTTTCTGAAGCTGAAGGTGCTAGAGATGGTTGGGAGCAGAAAGCTTGGGAACTAAATTCCCAGATTAGGAACCAGTTTCATCAGATTCAGACTCTTGCCATTGATTGTAACCAAGCTCTAAGGAGACTAAAGCTCGATATTCAGTTCACTGTGAAGGAGAGAGGGGAATCACCTGCAGAGGTGATGGGTGTGGATTATAAATCTGTGGTGAAGCCAGCTCTGTGTTCTTTACATGATGGGATCAAGGGAAGCTCGATGGAGAAGGCGGAGACACTGAACACGTTTCAACACCAAGTATCTGAAATGGCTTCGAAGTTGGAATCGAAAAAGAGTCTTCTCGGGTCAATTCAGCTGCAGATCAAAGAACTGGAAGAGAAGATGGAGCTAGTGAAGAAGGAAACTCAGGACTTGGCTGCGAAATGCGATTTGGAGGCGAAAACAATGGCAGAGAGCGTGAAAACGGAAGCTTTGAACCTGGAGGTTGTAGAAAAAGAAGCTGCCGAGTTCTTGAAAGCTTCAGAGCTTAGATTGCAAGAAGCGGTGAAGCAGAGTGAAGAGAAAGTTCAAGCTGTTGCTGCACAACTCTTTGCACTTATTGATTCGATATCGAAACATAAAGAGTATATGGACTCGAAGATCTTGGAGATGAAAACTGGTGTTACTGATACTGCCAATGCTGTTTCAGAGACATATAAAGCGAACCTCAAGTGGCACCTTGGTAGCTAGGGATTTGGATGCCATCGAGTAAGAGATTATTAAATTATGATGAAAAACGCTGTTGTTGTTTTTTTTTTCTTTTTAATTAGTCCTTTTAGCATAGATGGTATGTAATATAGTAGTATCTTATGATCCATTTTGTTTTAATCCGCATTGGTTTGTTGGAGAAATCTTGAAATATTGAAATGTTGCGTCTAAAATTAAAGGAGAAATCATTGTTTCCATGAAGCATCCTGATTGGTATATTTGAGGATTTTATATAAGCAAAAAGTTAAAAGCTTGCAAATCAACGTAGTAAACGTGTCAAACGTCCTAAAATGATAACGGCGGCTCCACGTAAGACAACACATAGAGAGAGAAAGACAAAAAACAAAATCAAGGAGAGAGATAGAGAGAGAAAAGAGGAATCTGAGGCGATTGGGTAAGCGATGCACATCGTCTTCTCTGTCGATGATTTGACCGAGTCCTTCTGGCCAGCTTCCGCTCCGGTACCGGAACCGCCGCAGAACATGGCGGACGGGATGACTCGGAGTCAATCGGAGTGGGCGTTTCAGAGGCTTATCCAGGAGATGTCCGGTTCCGATGCGAGCCCTACGACCAACGTAATCGACCGGTCACCTCCACAGGTTCAGTCTGAGCAGTCCCTTTCAACCATTGACGAAACCTCCGATGTTGTCGAGATACAGAAGCCGCCGCAGAATCACCGTCTTCCTCCTGGGGATGATCAAAGGGATCGGAATCGTGCACGGTCGTCTGATCCGTTGGATTCAGCTGGTGTTGATCCTAATCAATATCACGCGATTCTCAAGAGCAGACTCGATCTTGCTTGCGCTGCTGTTGCGCGTCGTGTACGTCTCTTAGTTTATATCTTATATGTGTTGGAGATTTGAGGAAAACAATTTTGATCTTAAATAGAAAATCTGTGAAACGGAAAGGAAAATTTTAGTCGTGTGGTGTTGATTGATTTCCATTTTCTGCAGGTTGGAACCGTGAAACCTGAAGATTCAAGTTCCTCAGCTGGGAATCAAAAGCAATCTCTTCCGACGAGACCTCAAGCTCAAGGTTACCATTATATTTAATTGGTTTTGGTTTTTGGTTCTTGGCCTTCTCTAGCTCTACACTTGTCCATGTATCTGTCTATTCAATGTCAATGTTTAGAGTACCTAGAAAGCAAGCATGTCATGGAATTTGTTTGTCAATTTGGCTAGAAAACGGTGAATTCGATGATTATCTGCTAAACCTTCCAAGTATATAACTCAAACTTTGAGCAAATTTGAAGATCTAAGCATTTAGGATACGCTTCTTTTGGCTATTTCAGATTCTGTGTGTTTGGAGTTAGTTTTCAGTACCGAATAGGCCACATGTCTTATGTCCTTTTTTGCAACTCCATAGTTGATGCTGCATTCTACTGAATCTCTGTCTGCTTTCCATTCCTTACGGTATATACTTCTGGATGAAATGTTCTTCATAATTGGGTTATTTTTACTATTTCTAGGCTCCATTGTGGCACAAACCTCACCAGGTGCGTCATCTGTTGGATTCGTTCCCTCAATAAGCACGCAAAAGAAAGCAGATGTTCCGGCCAGGCAAACTACCAGTATTTCATCACGAGATGATTCTGATGATGATGATCTTGATGGAGACACGGAAACAGCAGATAATGGAGATCCTACTGATGTGAAGCGTGCTAGGAGGTACAGATCTTGATTTTTTGTATTTTAGAATCTTTCTGATAATTATTCTGAATCTCGAGGTTGATTTCTGTAGAGATACTTTGACTCTAAAAACCTTTTTGGGGAAAGGTTTGTGGCTGGTAGTTTCTGCTCCCTTTAAAAAGAAAGTCTAGAAGGGGAATGTTTCAGTTAGTTTTATATTGTTCGTAGGAAACTCTTTTTGTACATCGGAAAGTGCAAAAATGGTCACTAAGACCAAAACCGACTCTAATTATAATATTCTTCTTACGATTTTCCTGAATCGGTATTTGATAATTACTCAGGATGCTCTCAAACCGAGAATCCGCTAGGCGCTCAAGGAGAAGGAAGCAAGAACAAATGAATGAATTTGATACACAGGTTCTTGTCTTGTGATTGTTGCTCGATTTCTTTCTTGATATTCAGCAGTCTTTCATTGATTTATAGGAAAAGTTTTTACGTTTCGTAGGTAAGCCAATTAAGAGTTGAGCATTCAACTTTACTAAGTCGTCTTAGTGACATGAATCATAAGTATGATGCAGCTGCGGTTGACAACAGAATTCTAAGAGCTGATATCGAAACTTTGAGAACAAAGGTAATATATATAGACTATATTCTTCTTGTGACTCATGAGTGTTAAAGATCTTACAAGCACCCAGGATTATGATCCTATCTTATTTATCAACTAAATTTATTGCATTGATAACAAACTTGTGCAGGTTAAAATGGCAGAAGAAACGGTGAAAAGAGTGACAGGAGTGAACCCTTTGCATTGGGCGGCAAGACCAAACATGGGCATACCATTGAACAACACTCCGACCGATTCCTCTAGAATTCAGCCAAACTCTAACCACATTCTCAAACCAGCAATCCCAAGTACCACCGGTGCCGGTTTAGCACCTAATCAGAGAGTAGAGAGAGGGAATTTCTTGGGCGAACAGGTGAACCGTGAAGGCATTCAGAATCCATTTGCTCCTGATTCGAATCTGTATGAAACCTTGCCCCATTGGAATCACAAGCATTAACCACAAGAACTGAGTAATTGGTTTGGTGATTTTGAAGTAACTCTCCAATCTTGTATTTTTTCTTTACTGTGCGACTCTGCGACGGTGCTATTGTAAGGGTAAAGTACCCATTTATATATGCTTGGAAATAATTGGAAGAATGTTGATTTTAATCACCTATCTCTGGTAGTCAAAAAGCTAACGTTTCTAACGCAATCGACGTTGCAAATATGTGCAGTAGCGTAAGCACAAACGCAAATCTAGCCAATTGTTATGGCCTCACAACGTAACCGTGTTACAAAAGATTGGTTACAAGTATAACTTTCGCATACTGTCAGATTAAAAACCTGTAAAACGCTCGGCAACATATGACTCGGAATCATCGGCAAACTGTTAAAAAATTAGACTTAGATTTCTCAACCTTTATGTTGTGATTACATGTATTTGAACTAGTGTCTAGATTCAAGGCGAGCCGGTATATAGTATAAACCGCATAGGATTGTTATTTTTGGTTTAAGCACAGGTTTGTTTTGGTCATTCTAAGGCAACAAATTGTCTATCGAAGACAAATGAGATTTGTTGATGGAGAACGAGAAAGAGAAATAAGAGAGAGAAAAATACATGTTTTAGATGCACCCTGGCAAGGATGATGGCTAAGACTTATTCAACTATACTCAAAAACTATCCTAAAGATTCGTATGCAAATACACATCATACACGATCCACTATCAAGTGGACCTAACTAAAATATACTTGTGTTTAAGGCAATATCCCAGTTCCAGTGAGAGTACCTTACAAATGAAACATCAAGAAAATTAGCATAATCTAATTTTGTCACCTTCTTTTATTGAGATTTAGCACCAGATTGTAGAGCTGCTTGAAGTTTGCTATGGAAGTGTGTTTCCAACCTTTCAAGGGAAGAAACATATTAAAAATTCACATGTTCATTGTACAAATAATGAAACAAAAAGAAATAACTTTACCTGGTAGCACATTTGTAATAAATGGTATCCGGGGAGTTGTAAGTTCTACAATTGTTAAACATCCGTCTAGCATCAGCGACAAACATATCAAGCGTCACGTAGTAGTACTGTTCCGACTCTACTCTCTTTGCAATTGTCTTCAGATCTGTGTTCATACCATAGTGGTTATCCAAAGCGATTTTTTTTTTTTTGGCTTAGAAGAGCAAATTCATGTAGTAACTATATATATTCTTACCAATGGGATCTTTTATAATGTCATAGTAATCAGGGACATCGCGGGAATCAACTGGCTCTTTGAAAGGCCAAGCATCAGCATGGTCATGCATTGTCTGTAGCAATAACTCAGCTTGTAAACTAAAGGGCACGTAAAAATTTATTATGTTATATTGATATAATGACAAAGCATTGAAGGGAAGAAAACTTATCAAGCAACCTTCAAAAGCGCGCGCATAAGTGCGGTCAACTGCTTTTGCTTTGTCCCACTATCCGCAGAGCTATTGAACAATTTGTAACGTGTGTGCCCCCACTGATCTGGGGTCCAACCAGCGTCCCCTGTAATAGTTTCCATAATTCTTGTATTAGCAATTATTGACCTATAATTACACAACATGAAGACAAGTATTACAGATTAAAACCTTCGCATTTTTAACGCCAATTTAGGAAATGCTACTACTACATTAACCTTGAGAAGCAAATTCAATGGAGATAAATATTTTTTTAAAGCCATATTAACTGCAAATTCATAGCTAACCAATAAAAGAATCTTAACACATGCACATCAACTTGATCACATGAAGCCACTAGCACGGAGCTTACCTTTGAGATGACCAGAAATGTTAATGGAAGAAAATTCTATTTTTGAGTAACAAACTGCAATAACACCATGGAGTAGAATCATGACTTACTTAAGCCAGGTATATCCTCAACTTTGATTCTTTTAGGACTTCCAGCTTCTTTCTGCAGAATTTATCACATTTGTTATACTACTAGAAATATGGGTTTTTTTTTGCTGTGACATGCATAATAGTTCATAAAAAGACACAACCATTGATGTTTACCTTTTGAAATTCAACTACTTGATACACATTCTGACAGTTCGATAACTCTCTTATCCTTTCATCAATTGCCTGGCATTATAGAAGTACAACCAGGATCAGAATCTGATAGTTTTGAAGGTCCAATCACCAAAGCCTTATATAATTTTATAAGATCGTCATGTATGTAACCATTGTTTAGTGGTGTTTTTACGCTGTTTTTTTTTTAAAGGTGTGTAGGTTGCCATGCTCTCTTAGTCTATAATGAAGAGGTCAACTTGGCTCTTGGGCTCATAGGAAAAATAGGAATTCTCATTGACCAAGGAGCATAAATCTTATGTTTCTTAAATCGAGCCCTCAGGTTTGTATTTCTTATGTTCTTAAATCTTACCATAATAATCCATAAAGTTAGAGCTAAACAGTGAAAGTATAGACAGTAAAAAAAAAAAACAGTTCATAAACAGTAGAACTTGAAGGCTCAAGAAAATGCTTCATCAGAGTTTAAGTATAATAAATGGCTTACCTTTCGTTGCTGGCGAATCATAGTTGACAAATCTGTATATGGAAGCTTCGGATCAATTTTGCATTCCATAAGGAGGCCACCATCATAGTCTTTAATGAACCTAGGAAATACCAGAATTTTTATTTGCAAGAGTAGTTTTACGGAAGTAGAGAAGAGTGCCAAGCCAAAATTTTTAAATCTTTTTGGCACGCAATACAGAATCTTCTGATAGCATGATCAGTTAGGACATAAAATGCTTTTATTTCAAGATTTGTGAGCTTAAAAGAGACCACAAATATCGCAGACAGAAATCAATCATATAAAAGCAAAGAATTTAATTAGGTGATGAGCAGTTTGAATGCATCGTTTACATACCCATGCCATACATCCTTCTCCAAGTAAATCTCTTTCGTAAAACCCTGCACAAGAAAATAGACGTAACAGATCATCAACCTAGTGAACAATTATAAGAAAAGACAAAATGACAAAACTTTAGTACCCTAAAAAGTGTGGAAACAGAGTTTTTTTGAAGAGAAGCATTGACTTATGTTCAGACGACATACAAATGATCCATAATCTCTATCTAGAGCAGACGTTAACAGAGACAAACTAAGAAAGAAGGTTTAGAAGTTGTTCTAACAAAAGGAACATTATGGAATTAGAAACCCATAATCATCATGTAAAGGTATATGCACACAAAAATCGACCATGCAAAGATTCCACATGAGCTAACAAAGACAACTCAACAACCAAAGGAATTTTAAAACATAAAAATATCGGATAAGAGCAGAGCAATGAAATTTTCCCATAGGCTTTTAAACTGATTGGTGCGCACCTAATGATATTTAAATCATGTTAGCTGAGTTTCAGAATTATATTAAATAGCAGCGTTCTGACTAGAGCCGGTAGATGTTAAGACAAGTCACTTTTAAATGTTAATATTTTTAATGAAATTATCATTTTACCAAGACGACCTCGCCTTTTATCCTATTGGTCTCAGATTTACATTATAGAGCACATGAAGGCCACTATCAACCATATTAACCGTTCTTTAACAAGGGGAACAAGGGCAGCACATGAAGGCCACTGACAACCATATTAACCGTTCTTTAACAAGGGGAACAAGGATAGATATGGGATCTCTTTCCCATATATTAGGCTCGACTCAGGTATCTTATTCCCTTATTGCTACGATAACATAGAGAATATGTTGCATGCAAAAGACTGATTCATTCCCTGGCCAAGATATGTACTACCAGTTGGTTGAAGTGTATTCAGATTAAATATAGAGCCAAATATTGCAGCGAATATGAAATACACCAACCTGCTTGACGAAATAACCAACGGCATTATTGTCAGCATAAGTAAGAAAATGCGTCAATCCATCAACATCACGTGCATGTTGTTTCAAGTGGTTCATCAATCTGGTACCATAACCCTTTACTTGTTCATCTGCAGTGATTGCACAAAATGCTATTTCCCCAAACCTCTGACTGAATTCCAGGGAAATAGTGGAGTTAATAAGCATGTCAAGAATGTAATCCCGCTCATTCTGACATTAGACATTGATAGATAGACTTTATTGGAAAAGCATAATATGCTTGATGAAGATACTAAGTCACACTTGCTACGAGTCGTAAAGTAAGGAGCGTATTGATAGACATATAGTTTGAAGAAAATCACAACTAATAGAATAAAATTGTGGTAATAAATTTGGGAATAGTTATGAGGAATTGACCTTACCTGTGATATGGACGATATGTGATACCACCTACAACTAGATTGCTTCTTAGGACCATAACAGATTTATGTTTCCTGGGTATACAATATACATCATAATTTCACATATCAGAATGCTTACAAAAGGAATAGCTCTTGCAAGACATCAAAAGCTTATTCATTTCATAATCGTAGAACTAGAGCAAAAGAATTTCTTATGTTAAGAAAGTGAAAGAGTCTGGATGAAAAATAAGTAGAGAAGTATGTTCATCATGTGTTCAGCTAGTGAACTCGGAAATACCACATGCATTAGTTAACCTTTATATTAAACAATCGGAAAAGTGTCACCTCTATTTTGTAACAATTGCATCTATTCTCACAAAGGTATCTACCTAATCGCTTTTTGCAAGCATATTATGGCCATCTGAACTTCCGGCAGTTAAATGCAAATAGTTGCTACATTTGCTTACTAAAACTAACACTCTCCTTTTATAATCAAGACAAAAAAATTACAAACGAGGAGAAATGTGAAACTATTGTATTCAATCCAAAAGAAAAGTCATGTATCACTTTAGTTTAGCATATTTACCTATCCATCAGAAGGCGAACAATGTACTCCTTGGGCATATTAGGCAACTGTCTTGCAAATATGTTCTTCAACCCAACCAAGCTGAAAAACATTCACCAAATTATTCATACAATATCTCTGTACAGAGGCCAGCACGAAAACAACCGTAGCTGATTATAAGCTGAAATTCTGAGACAGGAGACAATTGAGAGAGAAGGAAATACCACATCATATGCTCATCAACGCAATCATTTGAGTAACAGACAAATTTGAGCCGTCCAGCTTTTTCCTAAAAGAAAGATATCGCCAACGTGTTTATAGCTACAGAGAACACATTGGCATAGATACAATATTCATGTATTGTAAAGACAGGAGCCAGCGATAAGCTACCTCTGCCTTCAAAGCCTCTTCTCTCGCAATGTAAGCCCCGCTAGTCTGCAAATTCTCTGTCAATATCTTAGCAGACTCATCCTTAGGCACCAGCCCCGATATTGAGTTCCCTCCAACGGTTCCACTCACACCAGTCCCGACCACAGATGGTCTACCATCCTTTCCGCCATCAGAGCTCTCAAGCTTCACCGTGGAGCTCTCCGTCTTAATCTTGACGTTGCGACTCGAACCGTTGACTCCTGAGCTGGACTCGAGTCTAGCGGCGGTGAATGTGCGCATGGAAGAGTCCTGGTCCGGCTCGGGAGCAAATTCGTCCTCGTCATCGTCCACGACTGCATCCTCTGACTCCTCAGGGTCTGAGTCGGTATCGGCGCCGCGCGCGGAGATGCTCTCGAGGTCATCGTTGGAGGCTAAGGCTCCGTCGCGCGTATCGGCGGAGAAGGAGGAGGGAGGGAAAGAAGTAGAAGGAGGGGCATGGTCCTCAGACGCGGCCGCATTCGCAGCAGTGGTGGCGGCGAGCTTGCGTTTGTGGAGGGAAGAAGTGACGGAGGCGGAGGCGGAATGTGAAGGAGATGGAGTCTGAGAGCTACGCGAACGATTGGCGGCGTTGAGGTGAGAAGAGTGAGATTCCATTGACGCGATCCCGAAGAATTGTGGAGGTGATTAAGCAAATTGTGGTTGTATCAGAGGAAATCGAGATTCCGAGAGGCTTTAGGGTTTTTGCTCGTATAATTTGGGAACGAACGGAACGATGTGGTGGTCAAAGACGACGCCGACGACCGGCAAAAAAAAATCGATAGACTGATATTATTAACTTCAATTCAGGCTTCACTCTTCACTACTTTTTTATAATCCAAACAAAATCTAGACTCAAACCATACTAATTCCTATAACTTAGAAAAAACATATGTAAATTCATATAGGGATTTAACAATAAAAGCATATGAGCTCTAAAAAAAAATACAAAAGTATGATTTATCGTTCACAATAATTTTACTACAAACGGTATTATTATAAACATAATTAATATGTAGCATAGTTTACAATTCAAACCCACATATTAAACAAAAATGAAGTTTAGTTGGTTGCAGTCCTTCGGTAATTTGGATAACTATGTATTCGTTGTTAATTCAATAATTCTACATGATTTAGCGACATATTATCATCAGTGACGTTATAATAACAATACTTAGTTTAATAGTGGTATTCTATATTCTATAATATTGTTACAGCCAACGCCTCATGAGTCATGACAACTTAATAGTGGTAAATGGTAATCTATTAAAAATCGCAAGTGTAGCAAATTTTTTTTTCCTGAAAATGTCATCGAAGCTTGTATAGAGATATGCAGTTATATATAAAGACATGTTTATAATTTGTGACAGGCGTTGTAGCTCCACTTGAGATTAGAATACAACAGAGAGACCAAGTGCAGTCGACAATGCATACAAAAAGACAGGCAGATCGGAAGTTGTTGCGGCTGTGACCAGCTTGTCGTCAGTCACACACTGCTCTGATTCCACGATCTGACCACCAGCAACCTTCACAGCCACCTTTGTTCCATAACCACTTGCACATCTCTTCTTCTGCAAAATATTAGTATGACATATGATAGTGCAACTATAATGAGTTGGGACCAAAATAAATTAGGGGAAATTGGAAATTCGCCTATTACTAAATAAAGAATTAGATTATAATGATGAATTCTACCTTAATGTTTTGACCCAAAAGAAAAGAATATACCTCAATGATTAGTTGGTTTTATACTCTGTTAGATAGTTAAATTAACTTTTATTTGACTGTTGTTTCAAGTTTATAATATCAACCAAGGGTGGAAAATCCAAAGGTTTGATTTTGGTTCTGTTTTCTAGAAACTACAACAAAATAAATGTCAAGTGCAAAAAAAACTTATAGTCATATCATCCATGGGTATATATATTGTAATTCACTAAGCTTTTGCACCTAAGATTTGATATGAGTTCGATATTATTGTTTTTTGTTTTCTCTAAGCACAGAAATACTCCTATGAGATGCAAGGTCATATATACATAGTTTAAATATTTTGGGTTATATGGTTCAGTTACACACTTATATCCGGTTTCATTTGGTTTCACTTTCAACTTTTAAGTTTTCAAAATCCTAATAAAAATTCTTGTTCGGATTCGATTTAATTTGATTCAGTATGGTTGATATATGTGCAACAATATAATATCAACGATGTTTAATACCTTAAGAGCACCGGTAGCTGCAAGTAGCCAATTTCCCATTCCAATGGCAGCAACAAACTTGCCTTTCTCAACAAATTCTTTGACTAATCCGACGGCTTTCTCGTTCATCACCAAGAGCTCCGGCGATCTACCTCCGGGAACCACAATGCAGTCGTAATCATCCACAGAGACATCTTCCCACGCAACGGTCACATAGAAGTTGTGGCCGGTCTTCTCCGTAGGAAGTTGCCGTCCGTCCTCGAGGTCGTGAACGATCGTAGCGCATTTATCACCTCTCTTCTTGTTTGGTGTCACTGCGTCTACTTTACATCCCAGAGCTTGAAACGCTTTAAATGGTACGTTGATACTGTAATCTTCAACACAGTCCTAAATATGCCAAAAGAAAAATATGAATTAGATATAATATTTAGTGCCACTCCTCTTTTGATAAGATCATTTTTGTTTGTTTGTTAAAGCACTCTTTTGATAAGACAATATTATGTAGTTAGTAATGGACATTCGAGGTTTGGTTTGCTTTATTGAGATTTTCAGCTTATTTTATTCTCATGTATAACTTGTATAATTACCAATCTAAAAAATATGTTTTCTTTTATTCTCAATCCATGTGGTCCAAGATAACAGCAGACACACAATATAATATGTAAAGATAGGGTTAATAGAATTGCAAGAAAGGAAGCTTACCCCAATCAAGAAAAGCAAAGAAGGCAGAGTCTCCTTGGAGCAAGAAATCTTGAAGCCAAGTGATTCTAACAAAACTCTGAGAGTGTGGCCAAGCGTTGGCCACCCCATGGTGGAAACGAAGTTCCCGTCCTTGACACAATCGGTGATGTCTAAAAGTGTCTGGACTCCGGCCTGTTGCCACCACGCGCCGCCGGAGAGCTCAATCAACGGCTTCATGCTTTCAAACGCCGTGCAATTCATCCCACCGGTGAGTAGATCAGCCGCTGCGAGCAACAGCTGGCTGTGGCAGCTCGTGAGGACAAGCTTCTTGAGCTCGGCGAATCTAGCCACAAGGCTCACGCATTTCTCGTCGGTGCTCAAAAGCTCCGTGAAACGTCCACCGGGAACGATGATGGCGTCATACTGCTCGGGGATGACGTCATCGAAGTTTGCGTTTAGTGTTAGATGATCGACCACCAACTCCGAGTATAACTGTAAAAAAAGGTAGAAAATCGATTTCTTTATAGTGGCAAAACCAAAATGAAAAAAAGGTGAAAGTAGGAATATATATGCCTCGAGGCCGAGGAGATCATGAGCAGCCATGACGCACTTGTCGCCAGTTTTGCGACCAGGAGAAACGCAGTGGACGCTAACGCTAAACGCTTGGAGGACGTAGAGAGGTACTATGGTCTCGTAAGCTTCCATGAACTCTCCACATAACATCAAAACCGACTTCTGAGCCATGGATCCCATACTAATTTCTTACGATCGACAACGTACACGTGAAATAGTTAAACACACGTACACACACACAGACTAAGTTTCCCTTATATATATACATATACATATATATATATATATATATGAGTTCGAAATTCGAATAATCACATTGATTTCCCTTTTTTACTTCAAGAACGAAGAAATAAGGATTTGTGAGTGGAACGTGGGTCCATCTGGAGCACTTATTATTTAGAGTAATAGCAATGACTATATATCAATAAATTATATGGAAATTTGTTTTGGCTGTTCACCACTATTCGACCTATATTGTACACGGTCAAAGGAAAACATTATCATCAATCATACAAAACCAATGACAATTCAAATTTAAGTTTGTCGAATATCCAAAAATAATGTAAAGTAACTAAACAAGTTTGGAATAAAATAAATAAACTATAGCTCAATTAACAAAATAATGCATCCATGATATCCAGAAATTTACATGAACTTGTGTTAAAAAAAATGCGATCATTCGCTGTGCAATGTTTAAAGGAACTCCAAAACATTCGCTGTGTAATCCAAAACATTCAGAAGATGATACGATCGAAAGAGGAGTTCCTTTAAATATGCCCCTACTTGCGCGGGAAAAATAAAAGTTTCGTATGCAACGAATGGGATTAAATATTCGATGAAGAAAAATTACTCAAAAGTGCAACAAATTGTGTCTCGATCCATTAATAAATCAGTTTTATCCGTCATTGCAACCAATTTACAACTGAATATAACTTTTTTAAAAAGACATGTGATAATTGCAATTTTCCTACTCACCTACCTAGCTACCTCACTTACTTGCCATATTCCTTTGCACAACCTGACAAAGCAATAAAAACGGAAAGGCCAAATCAAAAGGCACGTGAGAATTAATGAACTAATTCTAATTTCTGTTGCCTCAATATCAGCACAAGAACAAAAGAATTTCTGTGATTTGCTAGTTAGTTGCTTATGGCGTTTGTGTTTGTTTAGTGTGGGACTGCTTTTCCTTTTCTTAGTTCCTTGATAACTGTTGATCTCTCCTGGACATCCTCAGGTGTACATAACTCTTAGGCTTCTCGTTTGAGCAAATGTTAAATCAGGAAATGTTAATTGGGTTGTATTGAAGTTCCATGCTCTTGTGATTTGCTTCTGTCAAGTGACAAGTAAACCATTTTCAGTGATTTATTGACCGAGGAGATCATTTGGTCCCATGCAGAGTGCCCTTGATATATAAGAGCTTGTATACGAAGAATGCATTGTTCAAAGATTTTATTTTAACATGAAATGTAACATCAATCAACATTTATTAGATTTATGGATTCCAAATTGCGCTCACCAGACATAAACTAGGCTCGAATACACCAAATATTCATTGTAGATATAAGCACAATCCATTCATTTAAAAACAAAAAGACTTCAGTCACTTTTCGCTGACTCACAAGCGTTAAGGCTTTGTCATAATGTTAATTTCTTTTCTTAGTGTGCTTGAACTTGAAGAAACCAAAGAATCCAAAAAAGAGGAGACTGATAGCGATTTAAGTTCAATAGAAATGAACTTGTTGCCGGAAAATAAATTCAAGATTGGAATTCAGAGAAGTAATACACTACAAGAAAACATGCCATATTCCTACGAAAATTCCTACGAAAATTTCTACGAATGTATTTGGTAGAAATATTTTTCACCAATTATTTACGCAATTATGACGAAAAATAAAAGTGGTAAGAAATATGTAAAAAATTTCATACGAAAAAAATGTCAAAAAATGGTAGGATATATCCAACCAATAACCTACCAAATTTATTTTCGTAGAAAATACGGTCAAAAAATGTCAAAAAGTGGTAGGATACCAAATTTATTTTCGTAGAAAATATGTAAAATATTTTCGTAGAAAATATGGTAGGAAAGTTGTAGGATCCAATTGACTGTTACATTGATGGAAATTTCGTAGGAAATTGTTCTACGGATTTCTTACGAAATATTGTTTGTAGAAAAATCGAAAGAATTTTGTAGGAAAATATGTTTTTTTTGTTTGTCCCACATAGAAAAGTTAAGAATTTAGATGAAGAAACTGCACTATAAATTAAAATTTTTCTACGGATTTTCTACGAAATAGCGTTTGTAAAAAAAATCGTAGGAATTTCGTAGGAAACTTATGTTTTTTTATTTGTCCCACATCGACAATCTAAGTTAATTAAGGTGAAGAAGTTGCTCTATAAATAAGAGTCTTCACTTTCTCTCCCTCTAACTAATAATTACTTAGTCAAATTTTAGGCTCATAGTAATTAGAGAATTTATTTTGTTTTTTGTATTTATTTCATAAATCAAATTTATAATTAATTTATATTTTAATTTAAATTCAATTTCCGATTTTAATTTAATTTGATTTTTATAAAATTATATTGGTAGGAAATTGGTAAGAAATTAGTAGTAAAAGATTAGTAAAAAAATCGTAGGAAATAGGTAAGTGATGTTTCGTAGGAAATTGAAAGGAACACTAATCGATAGAAAATGGTAGTAATTTGGTAGGAAAGTTCTACTAAAATTTCCGTAGGAAAACTATCCAACCAACATTTTTGTTGGAATTTTCCTACCATTTTTTTACCTTCTACAATTTCCGACGGCCGATTTCATATGACAAAATTTTGTAAGAATTTGGTAAAAAAGAGCCGTTTCCTACGTTTTTCTGGCGATATTTTCCGTAGGTTTTCGGCATGTTTTTTTGGTAGTGATAGTCTTAGTTAAATTAAAAATAAGAAAGAAATTTCTTGTTTGTTTGAAGTGTGATTATTTGATTAGGAAATCATAAAAATATTGCAAAGACGTGATTTGTGTTTAGTTTAGGAAATTTGAGATATATGTTAAGCTCATGACTCTCTTGAAAAGACACCCCAAAGAGAAGAAACTTGGAATTTTTTTTATGAGATTGCATAGTTGTTGATATGGTTATAATGGAATTTTGATTGAATGATTGTGGTTCTTTTTCTTTTTCTTGAAGAGTTTATGATAATACAACTGAAACCACTTAATTCCGATGGTGAATTAAAAGTTTATGGTGTAGCGGGTTTAGCTCTCATCGCTAGATTTTTTTTTCTCTTTCTTGAAGAGTTTCTGGCGCTATAATTGGTTGCGTGATTATGCATGTTTCCGAACAAGACTACAGTAGAATTAAAATTTTAAATAATCCGTGCAATTTAGGTATGCAATCCAAATACAAAACTCACGTCGGAGGATTACATAGTTATCCAAAGCTACCAAGTCAAGAATAAGCAAATACGAAATCACATTTGCAAAGG